GGGACATGACGAGACATGACAAGGAAAACCTTAAACATGGCAGAATGGGACATGACAAGTGGTAGATTTTGAGTTAAGTTAACAAGAATCACTGCCTTCTTGTCATGTAAAATCATGGCCAAAGGGTATTTAGTCAAGTCATATCACATCATATATTATTATAAGAGGGAACAAAAAAGTTAAAAGTTGAATTACGATTTTACCCTTATTATAAATTAAAATATTATAAAAATATTTAACTATTTAATTTAAATATTAAGTTACATTATTTTATGGAAATGTTAATGACTTTTGCACTTCTTTAGAATAATTCTTAATTAAAATATCTAATTTAATTTATTTTCTTGAATTATTTACCCTTTAAATAGATACATGTATATGATTTATCTTCTAAATTAATTTATGTTCTTAATTAATATTTGTCTTAAATGTTTGTAACACTTGACCTTTCAACATTGTAAGTGAATCTTCATATTCCAAAGCTATATTTTTTCCTATAAATACAATCTTTTAACATTTTTTTTTATAGGAAGATTTATATGTGATACAATTTTTGTGTGGGAGACTAGAGAAGCTTTAATCAAGTGAAGAAAATTTCAAGGCAAGAAAATTTATGTCAAGATTACAAGGCATAGTATGATTCTACTAAAGTATCGAAGCTTGATGTATTTTTTTTTTACTTATTTGTCGAGATTGGAACTATGGTAAGACCCCGCCATTTATGTAGTTAAATATCACTTCCATTAACTTGTCTTCCAAATATTTTAATTTTTTATGATCAAAAGTTGAATGTTTATTACTAAAACTTTGTTTCAATTTGCATTATCAAGAAAAAACAGGAAAAAGATTGTCTTAGAATTTTTCTGTTTTTCGTTTGTTGCGTTATGCTAAACTTGCTCCTATATATGAATACTTTATCTTTGTATTTGTAATTTTGTTTTAAGAATATATTTGATTGAAGAGTGTGTTTTTTGCTTTAGAAAATGAGACAAATACAATCATAAAAATAGTGTATAAGACATGCAAAACAATTAATGCCTACGAGATTTTCTAATTTTAAATTATTAATAATTACGTTTATGCATTTTAAATTTTAAATATTTGTAAAGAATCATTCTTACATGTGCTTGTGGATAAAATCTATAGTTTTTCGACAATTTTCATTAAAATTATCATGAGATCCAAATCCCAAAGTCAAAAAAATGATACACCAAAATGATTAAGAAGTTAGAAGATCTTCTATCCTTTGACCAAATATTGCTCCTATTAATTTTTTAACAAAAAATTATTATTATTATATTTTGTTAATAGTAGGTCAAATTTATTGAATTTTCATATGCAAAGTCATGTGAGTTATTTGTGTATAAAACTAATTAAGAATTGAATTTTGATATCAACCATCATTGGTTGATAAAAGTAAGAAATGTATTTATGAGCTTTGGCATGTTAGAGATGTGATATTCATTGACTATTCAGCTTCACTTTCTTTGTTTGAATTTAATTTTTTTTAATGGAGTTTTCATCCAAAAGAAAGAAGGGAGGATAACAACCCATGTTAAGAAAAAAAAAGGAATGAATACAATATCATATTTTGGTTATTTTACTCATGAAATTATATTAACTTTCTTTGCTTTAATTTTAATTGATTATTTTAGTTATTTGATCCATAATATATCTCTTTCTTTTTCATTCAGAATTTATATGACTCATCACTCAAATGTCATAATATTATTTTGTCATGTTTTTTTATTTTTCAAGTACAATTTTAACAATACAATTTCACAAAATATAAAAGAAATGTTGAATAAATTTTCTAACAAAAATATACTATAATTGCGATGAATCATATCAAATGAAGTTTGTTTAGAAATGTAATATTGGTGATAGGACAAGGGTTTAATTGATGATATGAGTGTATTAAGTTTGTAATCTATGAATTTAATTAACTTAATTTTTTTAATCAAAACATAATATCTATATAAAAACTATTAAAATTTGACAAATTCATATCAAATTTTAATTCATTAACTAAAATTAAAATCCATTTAGTACTGCTTAATAATCTTCAAGATTACACTTTAGATATTGAATGTGATTGATTTTTGAATATATTTATTATATATTGATGCAATTTTTAAAAATATTTATGCTCACTAGAAAATAATCAAAAGAAAATTTAATGTCATTTAAGTTGGTTAAATTTAAATTTAATGTTTGTGGAAAATGTAATTTACAAAAGAATGACATTTAAAGAACATAAATATGAAGTCATCCACATATATAAAAAATATATATATATATATATATATATAAATAGAGACAGCTAGTGTAAACACAAGGACAGAAAAAATTAGACATGGCTCAATTTAGAATTTCATTTTCTTGGTTCAATTTGCTTTCTCTTTTGCTAATCAATGTGTATGTTTTGGGGGTTTTCTCCTTAAGTCTTGATGGAAATGATGACTACATTTCAGCTGTTGGAGATTCAGGGATGCGACGCGACGGGCTAAGAGTGGCCATAGAGGCATTAAATCAATGCAATGAGGTTGGAGAAGAAACCCCAAAAATGGGAAGCCCAAGGGCTGCTGATTGCTTTGATGTTCAAAACAAAGCCTCTGCTCAGCAACAGAGTGAGTTGAATTTCTCTGTTTTCTTGATTTTGTTATGTTTGAAATGGTTGGTGTTTTTATATGAGAGAATTTGTTGTGTCTGTGGTGCAGATCCAAACAGGCTGCTACAACATAAAGTGACTGAGGAAGATAACAAGTTAGGCATAGGAAAATCATTTCCAGGACTGACGAAACGAGCGTTGAACAACGTAGACCTTTATGCAGCAGAGAAAGAAGTATACTTGGGATCAAAATGTCAAGTTGATGACAAGCCAAATCCATGGCAATTCTGGACGATCAGGCTTAAGAGTGGTAACATGGATACTCGTGCTGGTAAATGCCCGAAAAATGGACACAAAGTAGGTCCATTCGATCCTTCTGGCGAATTTGAATGTTTTGGCAAAGGATGTATGAATCAGCCATTGATGTACCACAATTACACAACTTTACAAGGGACAACCCTTAAAGGGGAATTTCATGGAACATGGGATTTGAATGCTGGTTCGAGTGCAAACATGAACACCTCTTTTTATTCTATACGATGGCAGAAAGAACTAGGCAAAGGCTGGATTTTTTATCATGTTTTAAGGACCTCAACAAAGTATCCTTGGTTAATGCTCTACTTAAGATCAGATGCCACTTCTGGTTTTTCTGGTGGATATCATTATCAAACTAGGGGAATGTCAAAAATTGTGAGTAAAAACATAAACTTTTTAATATTTTTTTCGCGATTTTGTTCATTTTCTTGATTACCCTTTTGAAAAAGATTGAATTTTTATGCAGATACCAGAATCACCAAATTTTAAGGTAAAATTCAGATTAGCTGTGCTGCAAGGTGGAGGTCCTCATAGCCAATTTTATCTGATGGACATAGGGAGTTGTTGGAAGAACAATGGAAAACCTTGTGATGGAGATGTGACTTCAGATGTAACAAGATACAGTGAAATGATCCTGAATCCAGAAACACCATCCTGGTGCAACCCAGATGACTTTAGTTTGTGTCCTCCATACCACACATTTCCAAATGGAACAAAAGTTCATCGATCCGACAAGTCTCGTTATCCCTATGAGGCTTACCATATGTATTGTACACCAGGGAATGGGGAGCATGTTGAGCAGCCTAGTATACCATGTGATCCTTATAGCAATCCTCAACCTCAGGAGATTTTACAGATTTTGCCACATCCTGTTTGGGGTGAATATGGTTATCCTACTGAGAAAGGACAAGGTTGGATTGGTGATCCAACAACTTGGGAGCTTGATGTTGGGAGGCTGTCACAATCCCTTTATTTTTACCAGGTTTGTATCAATTTAAGTTATATATACAGACCGTTAGACAATATAAAGTCTTTTTACACTATCAGTATAGTTTAATGCGTGAAATAAATGAGCGTCACGTTTATTACAGGATCCAGGCACTGCACCAGCGAAGAGGAAGTGGAGTTCAATTGGTTTGGGAGCTGAAATATTTAGAGATGCTAATCAAGTGGCAGAATGGACTGTTAGTGATTTTGACATTCTTGTACGGTTGTACAAGAATTAGAAGTATCAAATGTAAAAACAATTTTTTTTAAAAAAAGAAAATTTATCAAAGGTGTATTAGAATTTGAGAAATAGAAAAAAAAATTCTCATAAGTTATTTTCTTTCAATTCTTGAATATTTTGTTATTTGATTATTTTTTATTTTTGAGTTAAAATGGAAATTGTTGAACCAACCACGTTACAACTAATCAACTAAAAGTCAATCTTTAATAAAATTAAAATTTGACTATATGAATATTCTGTTCCCTTGTGATACAAAAGAAGTTGAAACAATTTTTGTTTTTCTTGATTTAAGACAATCAAATCAATTGGTAGTGTAATAAATTTATGAAATAACAATGTTTCTACATTTATTTAATAAATTCAACTTCAAAAAAATGTGTTTTATTATATTTTTGTCTAATTTTTTGTTTAATTGCATAGAGGGGATGATAAGAAGAGAAGGGAAAGGGGTCCGCGAGAATAAAACTCACACTTATTATTTGGAAAATAGAATTAATTTATTCGTATAAGTATTTACACCAAATTAATAGATGTATTATACACTGCATAAGCTTTTTTACAATTTTTTAATATATATTCTCACTTCATTAATCACAGTAATTAATAGAATTGATGTAAACAAAGGAATGCCATACAAATTTAGACTATCATTACGTGACCATTTTTCAAATCGATTAGAGTAATAGTCAAATTTAGATTATTAAAGTATAATTAATAAAAATAATGTAATAAAATAAATTTGTTGAAATTTTAATTAATCTTTTCTTAAAAGAGCATAAAATGCAAATCGAACAAGTAAAAAAGGACGGAGGAAGTACAATTTAGAAGCAGCTGGCTGTTGTGTGTGACTTTAGAGGAAGAGAAAAGTAAAAACCACCAATGGTCCTGATTCTAATGCATTTTTTCTGCATTTTGTACTTGAAAATATTTGATTTCATTATATATTATTAGTATGTTTTACACACTATATAACTTACTAACATGCATGATCAATTATTTCATTCACTTCCAAATTTGCTCAAAAGGTTTCAAAGAAAATAATATCATCAATCAAGAATGGAGATTAACATTCAAGAAAATGGTGGAAAGGGAGGAAGAGGAAGAAGAGGAGGAGGAGCTGTTGGTCGAGGCCGGCCGAGGCTTACCGGATTACGAGGAAACTCTCCACCACCTTTTCTAGTGAAGACATATGAAATGGTGGATGATCCTGAAACTGATCCTTTGGTACATTGGACTTCTAGCAAAACTACTTTTCTTATCACTGATCCTAACAAGTTTTGTGTTGAAGTTCTTCCAAAGTACTTCAAACATAGCAATTTATCTAGCTTCATTTACCAGCTCAATAACTATGTAAGTAACATTCTCTCTGTTGTGTTCCTACTTCTCGAAATTTCGTTTCCATCACTACTAGTTCAACACTTCAACAGAGCAGTCCTCTTCTGTTTTTCGATATGTTTCCTGTGTTTTTATCTCATTTGTATTGATTTCTTGATATTTGACTTCTCATTTAGTATTGTTTTCTGTTTTGTGTTCCTATTTCTGTTGGTTAATGACTCGAATTTTCAGTTTCATCTTTACTAATTCAAAATCTGTGATAGTGTTACTGCCATTTCCACTTCTGTTTCTGATAAGTTTACTATGTTATTTATGAATTTTCAGCGCTTTAGGAAGGTCTGTTCTTACAAATGTGAGTATGGAAATCCATGGTTTCGGGCTGGGAAGAAGCACTGGCTGAAAAATATCAAAAGTAGGATTCAACTATCCAAGGAGAACAACACACAGCAAGGTTCGCATAGTCCTCGTGTTGATCTGGTGAGCAATAATCTGGAAGAAGAGCTGGAGAAGTTGAGGAATGATCACATTAGTCTGAGGGTAGAACTTCAGAAGTTGAAAGATGGACAAGAAAACATGAGATCTTTCTTTCCTATGTTGCCAGGATGCGGTAAGGAAAAAGAAATTAGGAATATTATGAAGTTACTTCTTGAGAAATCTGAAGTCAGAGGAGACTCTAGCAGCGATGACACCACAAAGAGGACACGATTGGTGGAGTCACCAGATCGTGTGGCTGGCTCTGTCCAGGATGGGATTGGACAGACATCAAACTCTGCTGGTGGCTCCGTAAGTTCCAATGAAAAACAGAAAGAAGAAGCAACTGCTCGAAATGCTAAGAATCGTGAGTTTTGGGAGAAACTGTTTGAAGATGAGTCAGAGTCGAAAAATGAAGGAGCAGAGGAGTCTGAGCAGGAACTGAATCGTTTGAAGGCTATGGCAAAGATTGAGGAGATGGTAGAAAGCAAGATTGCTATGGAAGGAGAATCTTTGATTGCAAAGGCTGCTGCTAGTTTAAATGATGAGACGGAGGCTTATCTTCAACTATGGACCTAGTATATTCTCTTTGGTTCCGTATTTCCATCAAATACAAAAATATGAATTCTACTACATGTTTAAATTATGATCTTCTTATCAAATTGAATTTTTTTACTTCGTCTGCAGGATGGAGAAGAGAAATGCTGATGTAGTACAGCTGATGTGAAGGTCCTGTATTCAAATGGACTGTTCTTATAATCGTTCCAGCAACTATTAATGTCTTTTCTGTTTGCATAATCTCACCTAGACACTATACTGGATGTAGGAAGTTAACTTTTTAGTGCTTCATAATTGTAACTAATTAGAGTATCAAAACATCCATTGAGTAGCCTGTCTCTAAAAACTCTCACTGAGTGATGACATCTGAAGCTGCTTACTTTGACGCCTACAGTTCTGTTATATATAGACAACAATTGAACTTAAGCATTCATTTTTGTTTGGATATACACTGGAAATCGCGCCATGGTTCTTAGTTAATTGCAGTATCTTACTAAGTCACAGAAAAATAACACAAATGAAACCAATAAATAGCTATACAACAATGATGATCATAGGGATCAGATCAGAAACAGGATAAAGTGGGGGGGGGGGGGGATTTTTTTCTCTGTTGATTCTTCATCATGCTAAGAAATGCTTACCTAGGTCCTGAAAGAATTGAAGGAAACAAGTTTGTCGTGGTGTCTGCCACTCTTTTGATTGCTGCAATTGTTTGTGAATTTGGAACAGTATAGTCTAAATGAGATTCAATATCCATTGTCCCCTCGATCACTTTAACCACCATTGACATGGAAGGCCTCAGAGTAAAATCATTCTGTAAGCACCAGACAGCAAGCTTCATCATATGAATAACTTCTGATGTATTGCATTGCGGATCATCGCTGTAGTTTCCAATCATTTCGATGAGCTGATTGTTTTCGGCTTTTTCCATAAACAAGCTAAGCAAATGTGGATGTTCCAGTGAGTGTGAATAGTCCACGTTCTTGCGTCCACAAAGGATCTCTATTGCAACAATTCCAAAGCTGTAGACATCTGCTTTTTCTGTAATGAATGCACTACACCATTCAGGAGCCAAGTATCCAGGGGTTCCCCTAATTCTGGTCACTATATGGCTCTGATCCTTATCCACCAACTTGGCCAGGCCAAAATCAGATACTTTTGCACAAAGATTCTCGTCAAGCAGAATGTTCTGTGGCTTAACGTCTAAGTGCACTATTCTTTGCATACATTCTTCATGAAGATAAGCCAATCCTTTTGCTATATCATGGATGATTTTTCTTCTTATTTGCCAATCAATACTGAATTGAGTAGAGGTTGTGCCAAAAATCCATTTATCCAATGATCCATTACTCATGAAATCATAAACTAATATTGTGTGCTCTTTCTCAGCACAAACTCCAATTAGTCTAACAAGATTAACATGATGGATGCTTCCTATGGTCTGAATTTCTGCCAAGAATTCCTTCTTTCCTTGGCCAAAACCATCAAGAACCTTCACTGCTACTTTCTGACCATCTCGAAGAACTCCTTCATAAACTAAGCCGAAACCTCCCTGACCAAGCTTTTTCTGGAAATTCCCAGTTGCCATCTTCAGCTGTTCATAAGAAAATCTTACAAGACCAGATATCTCCCCCGAGTAATCATCAATATTATCTTGTAATGTGTGTTTTCTGTTGAAAGCAATCAAGATGCCAACAGTTAATGCTATCAGAAGAACTGTTCCACCAGTCAATCCAGCTATAATGCTAATTCTTCTTGTAGCTGTAGACTTACCTTTTTCTGCATCATTTGGTAATTTGATGAATGCAGATGATTCATAGACCCTTCTTCCCTTTCCATCATTTATAAGTGAAAGAACAGGAGAGGGTAAATAGCAGTCACCACTTGAAAAGTTAATGAAATACCGGAAGAGAACTACTTTACAAGAGCAGTTCTTCAAGCACAACTCTTGGCAACTTTCCTCATCTGTTCCTCTCAGAGCTGCTGCATCAGTGTCGACATAGTTAAAGTAATAGACATCCGAAGCACGGTCCATTCTGTGGGAACTTTTTCCATCACATTCCACCGGACTAGCTTCCACACATCCGTTGTTTTCTCGATCATTACTTTTTATGAAAGGACCTGGACAAGAACAAATTCCATTTGAGCAAAGCTCCAAACTGCCACAAGCTGTGGGGTAATCACAAAGCCCGATGAAATCTACCAAAAGATCGTTTGTCTGATCACTTCCCTCGGTGTAGGCTCGAAGATGTCCATCATAATCATATCTCAAATATTTCATCCTAGAAGGTCTTGAGAACACAGCATTTGGCTCATTCGGCTCGGTTGAGGATATGTACAAGGCAAGAGTACCATTCACTGCTTTGACATAACTTTCATCAAAGCTATCCCTTTCTCCCCTGACCAAAAACTTAAAATACATCTGCGGCTTGTCTGATATGTAAAATGCAAACAAGCCTTGATTGGTTACAGAGATATAGTAGTTACCTTAACTCCAATTGGACGAAGAAACTCTAGCCGCAAGTCTTTGACCAGCCCTTAATTTCTGACCTGGAAGCAGTGCATCTGTTGGATGATCAAAAGACTGCCAGACAGACTGATTATACATGTCATGAAGCACAAGATTCCCAGTCTCCATCATCTTAATGCCCGAAACAAACTTATTCGCGGTGCCTGTAGACCATACAAGAGTTCCATCCACATCTTTTAACACTAAATCTCCATCTTGCAGCAATTGCAGCGTTCCATTTTCATGAATTGGATGGTTTCTGTTTGCAAACCAGACCAGCTCAAGGTCAGTCCAGCGCTGAGCTCCTAGAAAGTCCTGACGAAGACGTACAATTCCAATGGAAAACACAAAGGCATCATCCTCTCCATTTGAAGCAAAACCACAAGCATATCCCATGTCCTTTTCTATATCTTTGAGCATCAGAATTCGCATGAAAGGTCCAGATGATTGATTGAATGAGTAAAAAGGCCATGTCAAGGGCTTTGTAACATTGATAGACGATACATTACTGTTTATCCACGTTGTGGGTATTTTCACCGAGTGATAATCAGGAAATTGAGCCAAAGTAAGGTACTCAAGGAGCACAATGATCCAAAACATCAACAAATGTTTGAAAGAGGGTATAGCCATGATTCTGTTTTAGACAAAAAAAACTAATATGTTCTTTGACCAAAAAACATATTAAAAGGGAAAAGAATTCTTATACATACAGATAGTTCATCTGTGAAACCTCTAATTTATATCAATGACTTGACGATCATCGAAATGAATCTATTCCCATATACTTAACTACTTGTCTGGATAGGGTAAAGATGATTTGAAGCTGATGTTGTATTTTCTTCTCTTTTTTCTATGCTTGGAGAACTTTGGAAATGATCTTTACCTACTTTTACAAACTAAAAAAAAAAACGAAAAAACATTTGACTAGCATGCTCTATGTGGACAATTTCATCTTGCACGAAAAGAGAAGTACATTTGATATTTGAATTCAGTTAAATGTTATCCCTTTGTCTTAGTTGTTCATGTTTAACATAGGACTTTTCTTCTCCTGACTAAGATTGACGACGACTGGGACTTTGCCTAACTCTGGTAAATAACTCCCAACAAAATGAATACAGGAAGAAACATCTCTTTATCATAGTTGTAACTCCAAAAGTTTCTTACCTTAAAATATTGAACAACAAGAACACACAAGGCTACTCAAGTTTTGGGAGTCATCAGAGATAATGCAGTAAGCTTGGCGTCGAGTCACTGTTTAGATTTTAAGTAACCATAGACAGGTTAGGTTCCATATCTATTATGTCATTTCTATTGTATGAAAATCATCAATCCCTGATATCTTGAAGAATTTTTGTGCTTAAAAGAGTAAAGATCACTTCTTTTTTTAACTTTTTTCATTTCACAGACCTCACTTGAAGTGAAAGTTCTTCTCATGAATGACTTATACTAACCAAAGACCTCTCAACTTCAGAACATTAAAATATGTAAAACATCTGTTTGTAAGGTGATATATTTCCTTAAACCATGTAGCTGTAATCTTTGACTATAGCTATTAGTTAAGTGTCAATTTTTAAAAGAAAAAGACAAACTGTGACATAAGGAAGTGTTATTTGACCCAAACTTTATCACACATGGAAAAGTATTGCCTGAAAATTTGAACTAGGTTTAACTGTTAAGAAGTTGAATATTCCTTCTACAACTCTTCTCTTTTTCTCCCATTTCATTTATGGTGTCATTGCTTTTTAACAGGGAACTACTTTCTTAATAATAGAGAGAAATATTTAAGGGTCAATTCGAAATTCAGTGGAATTTCAACAAACTTTTGCAAAGCAATAGAGTTTAAACTCGTGACGTGCATCTAACCCACACATCATGTATTGCGCTCTTATCATTATACCAAAGTCCCAAAGCTTTTTCCATAAAGAAAATTTAGTAAAGCAACTCTTCCAAAAAAAAAAAAAAGTTTCTTTTCTTTTCAAAAGAGTGTTTCTAGGGCCATGGTTTTTATTAGAAAAAAAAATAGGAAAAGCATAAACTCTATTTTTTTGTTCCTCTCAAAAACCCCACAAAGAAAAAAAGGTGCATAACATGTAATGAAAATTAAAAACACCCCACTACAAGTCTAAGACATCATTTTTATCCCATCAACTAAGAAATTTTTTTGTTGTTTCTTTTTAAAAAGGAGAGGCTTTTTTATTTGTCCAAATACAAGCATAATGATAGGTCAACGTATCACACTGAATTTAAACAGATTATTTGCAATGTGATAATGAAATCATCATGTAACCAAAGATTGTGATAAATAAAAATAAAAATAAAGAAATAGGTATTGGAAAACAACTCAAAAGAAGAATGAAGAATCAATTATTTCGCCAAGGAACATTTTGGTGCGCCAAGCCATCATTTCTACTATGGAAATATTTTGCATTGTTTTCCAACCATTTGGTTTTCCGTACCACTTATCTCTGTCTCTCTATTCTATTTCTTCCATTACAATCATATGTAAACCAACTTGCATATATATATATACATATATACTAGTTTCAGAGTTGCACGTGTATCCTATGTTAATTTTTTTTTATATTTCATTATAACAATTAGAATTCTACATGTACATGCATGTAACGAATAACAAAATCCAACAATTACAAATAAAATTATGACAAAAAAAATCAGGTGAGAATTCTTATTTTAATGTATAAAATTTATCAACAAACTGTAAATTTAGAACTTTAGATAGTAACAAAAGATTAACTTTAGCCTAAATAAAAATACAATTAAAACAATCAAAAATTTATGGAAAATCAAATGAAAGAAATTTAATCACAATAACATCAAACGAGGAATCTTATTTTAATGTATAAAATTTATCAACAACTGTAAATTTAGAACTTTAGATAGTAATTAGCCAATTTGCATTATATATAGTCACAAAAAATTAACTTTAGCCTAAATAAAAATACAATTAAAACAATAAGAAATTTATGGAAAATCAAATTAAAGAAGTTTATAGAGAGAAAACACATACAAAATAAACAAAGAAAAAAACATGCGACAACATACACATTCTTTTGAAGACTTTAATCATATAATAATTCAAATCTTTAGTGGGCATCTGGGCATTGATTATGGTCTTTATATATTGATTTAACTCAATGATCTCATAATAACCAATATTTTTAATATTTAGTGTGGCATGTAGAATGATTACTATTTATAAATAAATATTTTATAATATTTTAATTTAACACAGAATAAAATGATAATCTAATTTTATACTTTATTATTTAAATATTTTTTTACCCTTCAACCAAAAACAACTTTCATAGGGAAAAAAATAGACAAATACAATGAAAACTTATCAAATTAATATAACACCAAAAGATTGAAGAGAAGACACCATATCAGAAAGAAAATTTATGCATTAGGATTGTATCATATATAGCCAAAAAGAACATATACAATGAAATTAATTTTATACAGTGACTATTAATCAAAGAAATATAATTTTTTTTATGAACAACATATCTCAAAATTGTAGTCCACCTTACTTTTTTTTTCTATTAATATATCAACATATTATCTAAATATAACAAAAAATCATTTAATATAGAAGGGAGAATCATAATTAACAAAACTAAAACGGGAAGAACAAGGAAAAAATTGTAATCTAAATCGTGACTTACTCTTTCAATAGATTTATTGTAAGTTCATCTAAATGTTAGCATAGCATTTTCAAATGTATTAGAACCATACTGTGCCATCATATAGTTTCATGCAATAGAGAAGACCAAGAAAATTTTCGAAAAAAGGGTTAGAATATGAATTCTTGTGCTTTTGGGTGTTCTTGATTTCTGTTGTTATTTTCTTTCTCTATGTCTTAAATATCTATACATTTCAATAATATGTGGAAGATGAAAATAATTCAAGTTAATTAAAGAGAGTGAAGTCACATATGAAAGTTCAAAAGAGTGATCTTTTCATTTACAATATTCATTGTAATTAATGTAAGTTAAATAGTGCCTTCAAAATTTAAAACTGAAAAAACCTTTCAACATCAGTAATTAAGTGATGCATGAATAAATAGGAGTAATAGAAAGACTTTAGGAATCTTATCATTGTTTTTCTAATTAAAAGTCATTGACTGAATAAATTTAAACTTTCTTCCTAACTTTAAATACTTATGAAAATTAAATAGATATATATATATATATATCATTGTGTAATTAAAATATTTATATTTAATAAATAATAAATTAAATCTTAATTTAGTAAAAGGGCAAAATGTTATATATAAATTATATAAGTTTTAATTTATTAGAGGAGCAAAATGGTAATTCAACTTTTAAGTTTTGAGCTTCATGCTTATAATAATATATGATATATATATTGATATGACTATTTCACGAGGTACCTGTTATCATTCATTAGTGTTGACACCAATAATTTTGCACCGATGGCAAATCTAGAGCATATACTATGGATTTTCAGGAATTCAAGGTGTCGCTTGATAGCTGATTAGAAAAAATATTGTATTTTACATAAGTACTATCATGTATGGTAGTTAGTTAGGATTATGTATATAATTATTACCGTGTTTGGTGTTGGCAATATAAAAACTTGTATAACTAATACATGTTTAAGTTATGAAGAAATATATGTACAATTTTATACGGGAGATAAAATGAAATAGCTAATACATGAATAACTAAACCTCGCATATCTAATTTCTCCGTAAAATAATAAGTACAAGCTATCAAACAACCACTTGTAGTTTTTGTCCAAATCATCTATTTGACTATGAATTCACCTCTCTATCATATATCAACCATTATCAGATAACTATGAATTCACCTTACTGTCATATAATCAAATTTTGAATCCTAACATCAGTTTCATAATTCTCATTGATTGCTAAGTCACCCTTAGATGCCTCTCTCTTTGGGGTGTTTTCCTTTTCCAAGTGGATTTATTCAAAGTCAACATTGATATCCTATTAGAGAGTTGAACAGAGCTTGAACACCACTAAATGTTTGCATAAGCAAAGTCATACATTATCTTCTTACACACCAAACAATTGAACAAAGAAAAAAACAAATTTGACTAAAAAGAGAGGTGTCCATCTACTAATTCTTACATTAGGAATTGGTAAAATTTCTCTATATTTGAAAGTTACAATGTAACTAACTCAATGTCTTACTCAGTTACAAAGGTTTGTTTCAGTTATCAAGTTGGAGAACCATCTATATCATGTTCAGCAGACCATTTAACTTAACAGATTAAAGTTGAGGAAAGGTAAAATGGCCATGGTCATACAAAAAGAAAGATGGAATCCTAACGGACATGGTCAGAATTGTAACCAACCTATTATTCACTAACATCTCAGATAAGCGAATCGCGAACAGACTTTGAAACACTGTATTCTGCAAAATGCTAAGAACACATGAATTTTGTGGTATTCCTATGATTTCTCTCTTTCTTTGTCGCGTTTATATTTCAATGAAAGAATTTTTGAATATTACAAGTAAAACTAAGAACAAAAGATGAATGGTGGTAAGTACCCCTATAATACTGGAACTGAAATGGACATGGACACTGAGACATCACCAGGAAAAGTTGAATCCCTAGCAGCAGCTGAGTTTCCAGCAAATGCATATCCT